TTCTCCATTCTCTTGTTATCCATCATATCCACCATTCTTTCGCTTCCTTGCCCCCCTCTCCCACCCACGCCTCACTCTCACTCTTCCTCGTCCTCTCATCTCTGTGCTGACTCTCCAGATTCTCGGTACTCGTCGGAGGAATAATTTTGTCACCAGCACCAAGGAAAGTCCTACCGACCGGAAAGTCGAGCCTGCTAATTGCCTGTATTAATCATTGTCGGGCCAGTGTGCGCCTGACGGGCTACACCATCGCGCCCGTTTGTAGATTACCACTGACTAGACTGACTACTATTTAGGGACCACCTAGAGCAGGTCCTATAGGTATAAAGATCAATGAGATAACGAAGACGAGTGTGACTTTGTTACAAAGCTATATAGGACATGGTAAAATAAAATAAAACAATTATATCGATTTAATTAGATGAGCAATATACCTGGAGGGCAGATTAAAAATATTTCTGTCACTGCGAGTGACTTATGATTCTGTCATCTTGAAGTGCGGCTAATAATAAACGCTAGTTGATTCCATGACCGATGAATGTCACTTTTAGTATTTTCTTGCTTCTTTCTTTTCAATCTTTTTCATTGTGGCCACCCTGTGTGTACCGAGCACCAGACACCGCCTAACGTATCAAGGCTCCCTCGTGTTGTCACCTGAGAACTTTAATGGATGCGTCGTATCCCTGGGAGTGTCATCGAATTTGCGAGTGTCGGTTGCGTCCGCACCCCGTAGAGACCTGGGTATAATGAGCGGGTATATCTGTGCGGAATGGCCGCATTATACAGTATGCTTGGTAGCATTTGCATCGAATTACTGCCGTCGAGTAAGACGGCCCGAAGGGTCCCTAGCCAAGTTTCCCTCTGGAATTATCGGCAAACTGCATTACCGACCGCAGTTATGCTGAAGTATGTTTTTTCTCCGTAGATTCAGTGAGAGCGCTGAGTGTCTGCCAACTAGAAAAATGACGCGACGCAACGATCTAAGCAGCGTATTGCACGTGCGCGAGTGTCAGTGTAATGTTTATTATCGATAAATAACAATTGTTAAAACTAACCCGCGTAATTGAGCACCGTCGTCGTCTGTGTCGCTTGATCGACGCGATACAACGAGCGGATAGGAGTGCCACTAATTGCTCGACGGTTAATGAAACGTTCGTTTGTCGCCGATCGATAATTCACGGCTTTACTTGAAAACTCGAGCGACCAAGTCCTGTACCTGTCCATAGGGATAAAAGTCAGTCACTGTGCTCGGATACAGCTTTACCACCGTTAATTGGCTACTCCAAGCGATTCCTCGACACCTTTACTCCCTTAATGTTCATTACTTCTCGCTTCGTTTGCATTGTTTTTTTTTCTTTAACTTCTTTCTTCCTTCTTCACGGATACATTTCCTTATGCTCCCTCGGATTGTGACTTCATTATTATTCCGATTTACAACAATTACCATAATTGATTCTGCCACTCGGTAAGTACTCGCCTTATCGATTCGCATTACGATTCCACTTTGGCTTCGAATCCCAAACCGATTACCATCGAATCCACTCTCTAACCAATCTGACAGTCAGTGCCTCCGTTGATAATCGATCAATTTCCTTGGAAACTGGTTGGCGTTACTTAACGTCAATTATCCCTATTCGCTTCGCTCCCGTCGCGTTACTATACCATTCAGTAAACGCATAGAGTCCTATTAAACCGACTGGCCAATAATTTAACTGCGGTAAAGTCCTACGCTCGATGCATTAATTAAGTGACATTAATTGCGTCATTAGTTTCGACCGTCGGGCCACTCGCCACGTATCACTTCCCTTCGTTTACTTATTTAACATTAATTGCCTCCCGTTCGCTTCGCTCCTCCTAAAGCGATTCCCTGCCTCCTTTACGCTCGTCAACATCGACCGAAGAACTCCATGGGAATTTCAACGGCGAAAACTCCGGATTTACGAAGGCCGCGTCAATTGGGTAAGTTACGTACGAAGTTAGCGCAATTCGAGAGCGAATTTAATTACTTTAATCGATTCAAGTCAATCAACTTGTATTAATAGTCTCGCAGTGAGCCGCTGCTGCCTAACCTAAGCCTCCGACTTACCGACAATCAAGGGACGCGTAAAACTCACCAATTAGTCCCTTCGTGATACTCCGCGTTACGTCACAGAATTATCTATACCTTCTACGCTAGATTATTATCATTAATTAGCTACTGCTACAATCATCAATACCGTACGTATCGGTACGTATACCAAGTACCTATTAACTATACCAAGCTTTATGGACTTTCTATACTATACCCTACTGTATTATACTATATCATACACTAGTCGAGACAGTTTCGTTAGTCTACGGTGTTTACCGACGGTTTGGTTTCTCCTATACTTTGCCCATCCATTTATAGTATATCGTATCTCTATCCAGCTTAGTTATTCTCCGCATATACTCGGTTCGGCTAACTTCAACTCTACGATCGCATAAAACTCTCCGACGGACTTTCGATATCGCAATTGACATCGACGGTCACGATCTCTTTACGGTCGTTTCATTGTTACTGGACTCGTTTTCAAGATCGGTACTGACGACGCCCGTGTCGCTGATCAGGATATTGGAATGCGCCTTAATGTTTTTTTATTATGATACCCAACGCGTGGTAGGTAACAAAGTAATGGGTCGTCGAGTCAAAAATAAAACGTCCGTTAAATTTTTAACGATCTTTCGCCTCGAATCCACCGATACGCCTGTCGATTGATAATTACGACTTCGTCGGTGGTCATTAACTACGAGCATCGATGTTGATAACGTTGGACAGGTTTGTGAATGACTCAAGGACACATAGTCTTTCATGAAAAAATTCGATCGTACGGATTAGTTGAAATCGATCGAGCGTCAATAACCGCTGTAGGTGTTGGGCGGTGTTTATTAAATAAATCAAAGGGTTAGGTTAGGTTACGCTTTGGGTTTGGCTGTCGGCCGAACGCGTTTTATTGGTACGCAGTAAATAAGGGTCGGAACGGTTTTTGGGCGACGACCCAGCGACGTAGGGGTTGAAGAATGGAGAACTATACTAATGCCAGCCAATTTACCCCTATTAGGCTTGTTTTACTGGCTACGGACACGCTTCGAAAGCGGCATCCGCCATTTAGGTTAAGACTTTCTCTTTAAAGCGTCGTTAACGAGGGTGGCCGTTATTGAGTTAACCGAGATCAAATAATTCCCATTGACGTTACCTGTGTGCAACGCGGATTTTACATTGTTTACAAATATTTTCGTTAAATTCGCGCAATAATTTTTTTTTTTTATTTATAAACAATGATCAAGACGATACGCAAACGCCTGCCCGAGACATTGTCGTGACGTTTATTGCGCGATTGAATAACCTTTTTTTTTTTTTATTTATTTTTTTTTTTTTTCGTCCTACAGAAATCGTTACGCGCTAATCGTCATTGGACTCGTTAAAATGAGCGAAGATCGGACGAAGCCTGCCGACCACCAATGCTAATGAGTGTTACGGACTGGATTGCTTACACAGAGCCAAGGAATCGAGCGTACAAGCGTCACAGTCAAAATGCGCAGTAATGGAAACGGGATTATTAAATAATCACTGGGAGATCCGTGCTCGGTCCACTAATTATCCCCTACCACGTTACGTGCCACCCCCCGCGCTCGGATTCCAATGTGTTTTCCCCTCAAGTCGTGGCTATCCCCGCTCTTGCCTTCGCGTATCCCTACCGTGCTTCTCCGCGAGACCACGCCCATTACCCCCCACGCGTACCAACCACCACCTACCGCACGTTAAGCAAATTGAGCACACACACGAGTGAGCTCTCTCGCTCATATCGAGCGCGCTCGCTATCCGTGGAACTTCGTGTTCCCTGGCGTTTATGGACATCCCTGTTATTACTGTTATGATTATCATTATACAGAGCTATCAACTCGACATGAACTCCCGTAGGTGCTGCTATTCCGCGGGTACAATCCCTCAAGAAAGTTCGAACGGGACCTTTTAAACTCTTTATTTTTTTTTTTTGTTTTTTTTTTTTTTAATTTTTTTTTTTTTTTTTTTTTTTTTAAATTTTTTTTTTTTTTTTTTTTTTTTTAAATTTTTTTTTTTTTTTTTTTTTTTTTAAATTTTTTTTTTTTTTTTTTTTTTTTTAAATTTTTTTTTTTTTTTTTTTTTTTTTAAATTTTTTTTTTTTTTTTTTTTTTTTTCAATGTTTTCTTTTCTTCTCTTTTGTTGCCATCCTGACGTGCTTTCGTAATGCAACGGTGCATGAAAATTGAACTGTATCGTGATCCTGAGATTATCGTACGGCTAGGGATGTTGGATATAGGATATTGTTGATCTAGGGACATTTTCTTTAAAATGTCACCGTGGACGATGACGAGGCGAGGAAATCATGACTAAGAGGGACAATAAGTATTCCCATCAAGAGGAGGACCTCCTCCTCCCTCGAGAGTGCCGAAGGGCACGTGAAGGCTGGGAGGTTAACGATCCGGGAAATTCCCCAGTGGGCTCGTCGCGACGGATGACGAACGATAAATGGTAATAAACGGCAAATACCGGCGTTCTCAGCAAATAGGTTTTGATAATAAATCGTTGGCGTGTAAGCGACTGTGGCGTTTCCCCGTGGGGTAGGGGGTGTCGCGTAGAAGGGGTTGAAAGGGCGGTATGAGCGTAGGGGAAGCGGGAGAGGGGAAAGGTAGGGGAAGTTGACGAGAACGGCGCGTGGGGGGGGGATGGGGAGGTGGGAAGCACGGACACGTTGGAGATAGAAGCAAGGTAGGGGAAGGTCGGGTGGTATCCCTGTCCGGGGCGTGGGGAGTTGTACTACCCCCCCCCCTCCCCAGGTTGACCCTCCCCATGCTGGTACCCGGAGGACGAGTGGGGGTAAAGCGCGCCGGCTGTTAATACGACTCTCCCCACTACTCGTCGCTTGGCTACTCCCACTCCCGCGTCCACCACCTCCCACCCAGGGCCCTAAATCTTGCGACAATCAGTCAGTAATCGGGCGTCAACGGGCGCGCGCGCTACATCCTTGTGTGCTGCGTATCGGCATCGCGACGACCGGCTCTCCCACCACCGCGCAGCCTCTGCCGCCGGGGTGCTGCCACGACACGTGCTTTCTATTTCGCCGCCACCTTAGTTCGCTCGCGTGCACGTGAACTAGGTACGCACGTGGTGTCTTACCCGCCACCGTGGTCCTCCGCCATAGGGGATGTTTTGTGCAGTGATGTCTAGGGAATATCCCTATATCGATTAATCGTCAGGGGGATAATCGACGGGTGACAGTGACGCTTGGGAAAGTACGCAAAGCGGGAAATTTGAAAATTTGACGTAAATGCGTTGAACGGTGACATTATAATTTTTGCTTATTTTTATTCTCTCTCCTTATTTTTTTATCTTCGCTTCGCGCTTCCTTCTTGCCTTTCGCTCGCTCTTTCCCTCGCCTTCGCCCGACCCTTCTCGCGCGATTGTTCCGACGGAGGGTCTCGTCCGCGTTAGTCCGCGTTACGTTTCGATGATCGGAACTCGAAAAGTGTTGTGCTCGGTGTGATGCCGCGGACGAGTGACTGATCGAGTGTCGAGGAATGCAGTGCCGTGAACATCGCGTGGCAATAATACGACCGAGGCGCGGCTAATTAACGCGTTTTAATTACACCCGGGCAATTAGCCAGGACGGAACGTTAGATGGGGTCGGCCCGGCGCTGACGCTTAAAGTGCACCACTCGTCCTCTCCTGCGGCGATGTTGGAATTCCGCGGCATCGCCGCAACAAGGTGCTGCAGTCCTTCGTAAATTCGAACTGCCAATCGATAACCTGAATGATCCTCGTCCTGGGACTAATTACGGGAGGCTGCTTCGATTTATCCCGGAGACTTTGGATACCTTGTCCACACGTGACCCAGTCGAATGATTTCGCTACGTGATCGGATTCAGTGTAAATAATCGACGAGACGTTTGAGACAACTGATCGTCTGAGCTACCTCGAAATCAGCCAATGAGGAAGGTCGGAATCTCATCGGGAAATAGTAAATTGGCCAGTGACGTTGATAATTGATGATGTGCAAGATGAAGCGGGTCCGTCGGAAATGAGGCACCAGGTACCGCAGCGGGTACCACCCTGGTACCAGTCGACCTAAAGAAATACACAAGAGACTAAGGACGAGCGGAACCCGATAAAAGGGCTGTTATTGAAAGTGAAGAACCTGGTGAACCGGTACCAGGAGATGACGGACACGGAGAGCATGCAGCAGCAGCAGCAGCAGCAGCCGAGCGAGAATGGTCCTGGAGAACGTCGGTTGGAATCCTCGATACCTGGGGACAACAACAACGAGACCAAGAGCGTCCCGACGCCAGAGCCAATTGATACCGGGATCCGTAACCTCGCCGCCCATTCACCGACCGTCAGGGTGAACTCCTGGCACGACCACGTATACGCTACCCCGCCTCGGGTACCGACCCCGCACAGGATCAGCGACATCCTCGGCTGGGGAAGATCCATCACCCCCGGTACCAATCAGCTGAACAACAACAGCATATCCACGAAGCTGGTAGCCCCGACCCCCAGGAGGCTCACCAGCCCCCTCATCAGGGCTCCACTGGCGCTCTACTCACCCTTACCGGCTCATTCGCCGTCCTTACAAGGGTGCGTCACCTCACCACCTTGTACACCTAGTCCAGCTCCTCCGCTGAGGTCACCCTCGTCGAGCCTCTCGTCCCCCAAGATTAACTCCGGCGACAACTTCAGGCACGACAACTTCCACGAGAGGCACCACTCCCCGGAGACCTCGATCACCACTGTCGAGGATGACGATGATCGACCCCTTAACCTCACCACGACCCGATCGAGGAGTCCACCCAGTTCACCGGGTTCGTCCATACTGAGTGGACACTCGGTATACGCGAGGACGACCCCGACCGCCTTCAGGGAACCGCAGATCGATCATCATCATCTCATTGGGGCTCATCATCACCAGGGACACAATGCCCATCACGTGCCGCATCAACCCTATCTACATAACGGGAGACACCCGGCCGACGTGAACTCACCACCCAGTGGAAAGTCCAGGGCAGCCAAGGGTGAGCGAACGCCATTTAACTCTGTATCGTTTTGCTGCTGGGCTACTCCGTGTCGTTGCTCCTTTTTCTTCCCTTACTCCGTCCCTGGAGTCGGGGTCCCGGGGGAGTGCCGGAGGGTGCCGGGTCTCCTGGACACGTGTGGACTCCCTCTGGAACCTGGGGGGGATCTCGAATTTCATTGCCGCCTCCGTGAACGGGCACTACCAGCGATAAATCATATCAACCCCCGGCGAACACGTGGAGGGAATACTCAAGGAGTCTAAGGGCTTTTTCTTTTTTTTTTCCCCCCTTAATTTCATAATTAGGAATTATTGTATTTTCACGTAAAAATTTCTTCACGGCTCGCTTAATCGCCGATATGATATTCGAGGATAATTTTCCTCGTGAACTTCCACCGGGATGAACATTCATTAAATTTCCATATTTGATGTTTCCAAAAACGAAAAGCCTCAAATTGGCTTGCGGCACGATTTCCCAAAAGTTTCGTTTTCTCGGTGAATACCGAAAACAGAAGAAAAAATTTCAGACTATTTTTTTCATAACTCTAAAAGCGATGAACACCTTCCCGGAAGTGTCTCCGTGAAGAGATAAAGTAAAAAGTAAATTTAAAAATCTTTATTGGGATGTATCTCAGGGCCGTGTCATAAGTCGTGCCCCTCGCCTCCCCATTGAAAATACTAAGGGTGAAGCCACGTGTGCGATTTAAGGGATGGGAAACGTGAGAACCTTTGCGGATAGCTAGGGTCGAGGCAGCTAACCAGCCCGGTAGGTGAGTGCTCGCGGAGTGAGAATTTGAGGGTAAAAAAGCATTGCAGGAGCGGCGCGCGAGGGTGGGTTCAGGAGGGCAACAAGGAGGGAATCGCAGGGAGGTCGGCTGAAGCCACAGGTTCATAAACTATGCGCTGGATGGGGTGCCCGTTGGCAAAAGGGGTTGGCTTCACTCGATGGAAAGGTGGGTTCGGGGTGAAAACTGCCTCTTAACACCCCGACTCTAACCCACCCCTATATCTTCTCTGCTCGTTTGCAGTTTCCCTCCTACCCTCTTCTTTCAACCTACCAGCAACATTCCTCTTCCCGCTCTGCTCTGCTACACGACCACCCTCGCTTTTACTCGTGCCCGTTTCCCCCCCCCCTGGAGGGAAACTGGTGCAACTCTGCCCGATCCACCCCCTCTCCATACGTATCCGCTACCCTACAACCCCACAGCAAATTGCGGTTTTATTTATTCAAGCCGAATATCCAGCGCGCCTTGCTGCTACCTCATGGAAGGAATTCTTTCAAATGCAATGTATTTGGATTACTGCCTCGTGTAATTACGTTGTCGCCATTTCCTCTTTTTACTTTTCCATTTGACTCCACCCCCCCCCCTCTCCCCCTCGAATAAACCTAGAAAGAGAAAAAAAAACTGTGAGACATAAAATACGAGTTGCATGACATTCCGAGTAACCCGAGAGTTCGGCTAGGTTTATATGTAGCAGTCCGAGACTCGGGGTTAGAGCACATTCCAAATTCGCCTTTCGTAAGGCCACCTGGCGTGCGACAGAAACGGGTCGGGCCCCTCTCTGATAAATTATTAATTTATGTTAAGACGCAAGTGGAAACCCCATCGGTCGCGGGCAGCTTCTTCTCGCATTACCTGCGCCGTTTATTCGTCTCGCGAGGTCCGAACCAGTCGCAGGTGTCGCCGGGTTGAGTTTTGAGCGCGACCCCACGAGAGTCACGCGAACTAATCGCATGACACGATATACCAGGGAGATAGGTTTATCGACGGTAGGAATCGTCGGTCGGCTCGAATGAAAATTCGTGCATTCAAAATCTCCCGCCATTCGATGCGCGATCCTTGCGCGCAACGTCGTTCGTCGCTGCGGACGTTCTGGAGAAACAGTAAAATGATTGGTAAAGATATCCGAGGGAGCATAAATACCTTTTCGTAAAGTATCCTCTCATCCCCGTGGCTCGCTTTAAAAAATTCGTCTCAACTCGACTGCGCACCAAAAAGGAGAAAATTTCACTCGAAACGAACCGCACGGGGGGGCGCCATTGTATTCCTCGAATGGCGTAGGCGTTGCCGAACAATGCGTAATTCCATTCAATCCCACTTTTGAGAAGTTTCATCAGCGCCACCGTCACTTACATATTTATGAGAGGCTGCAGCGGAATTACTGGTTTCCAGGATAGGTGGCCCCACGAGTAGGAGGAGGGATGGTTTAACGCGATAGGAATACACGCGCGACACGAGACAACCACTGCTTGCGCGGAACACCGAAATTCACGTGATAGCACCGGATATTGTATTCACCCTCGGCAAAAATTCAATCGTTCGGGAATGTAAATTTTTCAATGAAAAAAACACACGGACCACTTCATCCCTCTTCTCGCGCAGGATATTTTGGTAGCTCGGTCAAAGGGTTCACTGTACTGGCAGATCAATCCCGTATCACTAAAGTGTACCGTGAAGTAGAGTATCCTGGTCAGCTTGTTAGTCGCGATACCAGTAGTGGTGCTATCAGTGACGCTGCCCTGGGCACATTGAAAGGCAGACCCATTTCAAGGGTCTGGATCTCAAGGGAGATAGGGCGTGAAAGGAATTAGCGTAAACAGACACCAACGAGCGCGCTTGGCTCCGGCATCCGAAACCTGGCTAATGTACTGTTCCTGTTGCACGAAACCCACGTTAAAATTCACCAGCACTGCCACCCTGCCATTTCCACCGTTCCGCAATCCCGTAGCGTGCTGTACACGAACTTCCTATTCCTTGTGCATCGGGAATCCACCATCCTCTGTCCTACTTCATTCCATTCTGCCATGCTGCTGGAGTGCCCGCCCCTCTCTGTCCCTCTCGTGCACGCGTGTTTCGTCTCGCTCTCGCCACCAGGCTACATCGATCAGATCACGCCGTGTTTAACGTGCAGCACCAATTTGCGTACGGATTTTCCATGCTTACGACTGCGTGCTTGACCCACTGATGCCAACTTTAGTAGAATCGAAAGAAAAAGAGCAAAGAAGCGTTATTTCAGTTCAATTCAGTTCAATTCAGACAGACCGTTTGCGTTGGTAACTTTCCGCTGTCGAAATTGAAGCAACGTAAAGTTTGAACGGAGTAGTACCAACGTCTGCCGACTGTTGGCGCTGCAGTAGAGGCAGCACTTCTCGCCTCGTCAGACCGTTGCGACGCCGTGTTCTTCTTGCTTTATAATATTTCTTCTCTCGGCTCTCGTTCAATTGGCAACAGTTTCGATTATTACCGGGAAAATTGCCTCTCGATTAAACAAAGCTCCGTGCACACACCCACGCGTCGTAGCCAAACGAAGTGTACGTGTCGCTGTAATAACGCACGGGCCCGGTAATGCGTTAAAGTGGGAGCGACATTAGCCTCTAATAACTGGCAATGCCGGCGTTCTTTATCGGTCGTTAACAGATCGTTAAGTCGCGATAGGGAGATCGATTCGTTCGCGATAAATCGGCCTCGTTAACGAGGCACGTACAAGACTGTGATTGGTCGAACGATCGTACACCGCTCGATTGTTTCCGTTAGCATAACGTAACCTAATCAAAGTGAATTTCTACGGCGAGTGACATGCATCCATTAAACAAGCTGGAACGGACGACTAATTTGGTATGTACTATATTCTTTTATATCAGCTGAAATTGGTCTGTAGCCTTCGTGCCTGTCGCTGCGTACAATTAATAGTATATCCCGTATTTTCATTAGTAAAAACCATCGTCTTCGCTCTCTCACGTGGTACAATCTTGCCGATAATTTCCAGACTTACGTACGAAGCCCACTAGAGTTACACTTCATGGACTCTATACCCCATTCGACTTTACTCTTGACTTCCCACTTGTAAGGATCGCTTATGCATTTACATAATTGGCTAACTTCTTAGCGCTGGCTCGCAACCGTGAACGTGTCGCTACGTACTGCTTTAGTTAACACAGCCTCTGGAATTGCAGTTGGAATTGCCCGCCCAGGGGAAAACGTAGGAACGTTGCAGGTGTGCGTGTAACAGGCCGCCTTGGAAAGGGATGCAATAGCGCCGACGTAGCGAAACTTCTTAACGAGTTGTTCCTGGAACGCTGTATCGTCATACGAATAATTAAATAGAGTGCCAGGACTTGGGTCGGCCAAGTTGCGATTGCAATTGCGAATCCCAACCACGTATAACGTTGACGAAACAATGACGCAAAACTGTTGAGAGGAATCTTTTTTATTTTTTATTCCCTACGTCAGTTAGATTATCTTCGTCTCGGCGATTAACGTGCCCCGCAGTCTTATGTTCCCGTGTGCTCTCTCCCTATGAAATTCATACTCGCTTCGCTTTGTCTCGTCCTCGGGTAACAGTCGTCGAACATAACCTAACATCCTTTTCCAAGTGAATCGAACGTACACCGTTCACGGATGACTTTCGAATTCCTGATGCAATATAATACAATTAGTTGTGGTTTCTACGCTGCCACTTTCTCCACTCGTGTCAGGACCTTCGGGTAAACCCACGAGAATTTCGTTTCGCAAGGGTTAACCTCCCGAAAAATCTACTTGAACTCATATCCCACGTTCAAACGGCAGGATGTATTTTTGATTGTCAATCGATCGCGGGTCAACGCACGTTGCGCAGAGTAAAAGCCATTCTTGACGATCGACCACGCGTAAAAGTGAAATGTCGGCCACGTGATATTTCTTTCGTTTCAAAGGACGTCACGTGTCGTGTTTTTCCTTGTCGACCGGGATATCGCTTGCCGGATAAATAAAATGGACGGATAGAAGGGAGATGGAAAAAAAAGAGAGAAAAATAAATTCGACGCAATAGTGCGTCGCGGGCACGTGCGCATGCGCAAGGCACGCGTCGACCGAAAGTTCGTTATTTTTTTTTTCAAATTAGGATCAGGTGCCAGTCAGTCGGGCACGTTTTCAACGGGACTGGAAAGTCGCGCCTGACGTATCTTGCTATTTAAATATTTTTCGTCGTTGCACGTCCGATAGGTCGACCCATCGGGCTTAT